TGCAAGAGTTACAACGTACGGTTTCGTTTCGTTTTCTCTCTCTCTCTCTCTCTCCTCCTCTCTTCTCTCTCTCTCTCTCTCTCTCTTCTTCTTTTCCCTCTGCATCCACTTCACTTCGTCACGAGCTTCTGCATACATGAAAATGCAGCATCAATGAGGGAAAACCTCACAGTACTGCTGGGTCAAGAACTCAATATTCATTTGCATAGCAAGTATTTATTTAGGGTGAGATAGAGATAACACGGATAGCGACCAAACTACCAAAGAGGAGTAGTGACAGCCATATGTAAGTAATGAGAATCAAGGTGAGAATTGATGGGAGTAGAGCACGAAGGCGACCCCGACGGTCCCCCCCAAAAAACAAATATATATTTTGAAAAAGGATCAGAGGGCGAGGAGAAGGAGAGGCAGAATGATGTTCCCAGTGTGAAAACAAATTTTTGCTATAGACAAACAGTTGTCACCCCCCCCCCCGTTACGCAACAACAACAGAGGCTATATTAAAACCAACAACAGTCAGACGTCACTCAGCAACAGTGGCCTATTCATTAACGGGACAGTCACAGTGGTACATTATTCAACGAAATTACTTTAAGGGACAACAGAAGCTACATCACAATGGCTAATCTATCAACAACAGTGGTAAATCTACAACAGCGGCTTACGTCATCAAAAAATAGAAGAAAGCTACTCAAAGAACAGAGGCTACATCAACAACAACAGTGGATACGTCATTCAAGAGCGATGGCTAGTCATTCCATAATAACAGAAGGATGCATTAACAAAACATTTCCAAGTGGACTACATCAACAAAAGTAATAGCAACGTCATTAACAGAGGGGCTCTATTAACGACAACAGACGGACTACATCAACAGTAACAGATGACTGCTCATGAAAACCAACAGACTACAACATCAAACATAAACAGAGAACTACATCTAACAACTGAGGCTCTTTAACAACAACAGGAAGTCATGGTATTAACTACTAGAGATGTCACTTAGCCGTGAAGGATGTCAACATGGTAACGATGACACAGCAACCGCCAATAAACTGTGTTACCGCAGTGTGTGTGGGAGGAGAGGTTGACGAGACGAGAGGAGAGAAAGCAGAGGAGGAGTGGAGAGTAGAGATTGCGGGGAGAACGACGGGACAGAGAACGAAGGATGTTTTGTGATCGAGGAGAGGAGCGAGACGACCTGAGGGAAGGGAGGAAGAGAGGAGGCTGAGGGAGAGAGTGGATGAGGAGAGCCAGACGCGAGGACGTGATGAGATGGAGGAGAGAGGACGAAAGAGGAGAGAGTGGGGGCGTCGGAGGAAGGGAGAAGAGAGAGAGAAGAGATTGGATGGTGAGAGGAGAGCTGAGAAGAGGAGTGGGAGAGAGAGGGTAGGAGATTGTTGCTAGGGAGTGGAAAGAGGGGGCAGGAGTGAGGAGGGAGGAGGAGGAGAGGGAGTGAGAAAAAAAAACTTTCACCATCATTCACTCCCACGTCTTCCCAGAAGGGTGTTTACACTCATTTTTTTAAACTGCAACATTAACACCCCCCTTCAGAGCCCGGGCACTGTACTTCCCATCCCAGGACTCAAGCCCGGCCTGCCGTTTCCCTAAAACCCCTTCTAAGTTATTTTTGCCACACCCAAACAGCACGTCAAGTTTAAAAAAAACCTTTTTCTCCATCACTCCATAAAACACGCTCACGCATCCCTGCTGGAAGTCCAAGCCCCTCGCACACCAAAACCTCCTTTACCCCCTCCCTCCAACCCTTTCCTGGGCCCGACCCCTACCCCCCCCCTTTCCCTTCCACTACAGACTGATACACTCTTGAAGTCATTCTGTTTCGCTCCATTCTCTCTACATGTCCGAACCACCTCAACACCCTTCCTCAGCCCTCTGGACAACAGTTTTGGTAATCCCGCACCTCCTCCTAACTTCCAAACTACGAATTCTCTGCATTATATCACCCCACCAAAATTTGCCCTCAGACATGACATCTCCACTGCCTCCAGCCTTCTCCTCGCTGCAACTTCATCACCCACGCTTCACACCCATATAAAAAGCGTTGGTAAAACTAAAACCTAAATACATTCCCCTCTTTGCCTCCAAGGACAAAGTTCTTTGTCTCCACAGACTCCTAAGGCACCACTCACTCTTTTTCCCTCATCAATTCTATGTTTCACCTCATCTTTCATAGCCCCCATCCGCTGACACGTCCACTCCCAAAATCTGAATACGTTTACCTCCTCCATACTCTCTCCCTCCAATCTGATATTCAATTTTTCATCACCTAATCTTTTTGTTATCCTCATAACCTTACTCTTTCCTGTATTCACCTTAAATTTTCTTCTTTTGCACACCCAAAACCAAATTCATCCACCAATCTCTGCAGCTTCTCTTCAGAATCTCCCAAGAGCACAGTGTCATCCACAAAGAGCAGCTGTGACAACTCCCACTTTGTGGTGTGATTCTTTTCTTTTAACTCCACGCCTCTTGCCAAGACCCTCGCATTTACTTCTCTTACAACCCCATCTATAAATATATTAAACAACCACGGTGAAAATCAAAACATCCTTGTCTAAGGCCTACTTTACAGGGAAAAAATTCCCTCTTTCCTAATACTCTAACTTGAGCCTCACAAATCCTCGTAAAAACCTTCACTGCTTTCAGTAACCTACTCCTACACCAACACTTGCAAATCTCCAAAATGCCCCCCTATCCACCCTGTCATACCCCTTTTTCCAAATCCATAAATGCCACAAAGACCTCTTTAGCCTTATCTAAATACTGTTCACTTATATGTTTCACTGAAAAACACCTGGTCCACACACCCCCTACCTTTCCTAAAGCCTCCTTGTTTTATCTGCTTCCTATTCTCCGTCTTACTCTTAATTCTTCAATTTTAAACTCTAACCCTAAAACTTTACCAGGGACACTCAACAACTTATCCCCCTATAATTTTTGCACTCTCTTTTATCCCCTTTGCCTTAACAAAGAAAATCTAGCGCCCCTTCCAACTTGTACCAAACCCTTCCTACAAAAAAAATTGGGGACCAACCACCCCCAAAAACATTCCCCAAAACCTCTTTTAACCATTTTCATCCCTTTAAAACCCAACAACCCCGGCTGCCTAACCCCCTTCATTTATACCTATGGCTCACGGGTTCCGCCCACACCAAAACTGGTTTCCCATCCACCAAGTGTTAAACCCCGCCTATACCGAAACACTCTTTCCCTATCTTTCCATCAAACATTTAACATTTAAAATAATTCCCCCACTTCCCAATTACCTCTAACCTTCTCCCCTTTCAATCCCCTCTTCCCCCCCATTTTTAACTGACGAATTCCCCCCCTTTTTCCACTGGCTTTCCTTTAAATTGTTTTTCCCCCTTCCAAAAAATTTTTCCCTATTTTCAACAAAAATTTGTAAAATTCCCTCCACTTTCCTACATCTTCTCCTTTTTTAAAAACTCCCCTCTCCTTAACCCCTCCTTTTCTCTCCCTAACTTTTTCCCTCCTTCATCACCTACTTGTTAAAAACCCATTCTCATTGCTCTTTTTTCCCTTACACTCTCTTTAACCCCCTCATTCCCCAATCCTCCTCCCTTACCCCTTTAAACCTTTCAACCCAAAAATTTTCCTTGTAACCCCACAAACTTCTGCTGAACACTCTAACACTACATTTTTTAAACCTACCCCATACCTCTTCGACCCATTGCCTATGCCTCATTTGCCCATCTATCCTCCAATAGCTGTTTATATCTTACCCTAACTGCCTCCTCTTTTAGTTTATAAACCTTTACCTCTCTCTTCCCTGATGCTTCTATTCTCCTTGTATCCCATCTACCTTTTACTCTCAGTGTAGCTACAACTAGAAAGTGATCTGATATATCTGTGGCCCCTCTATAAACATGTACATCCTGAAGTCTACTCAACAGTCTTTTATCTACCAATACATAATCCAACAAACTACTGTCATTTCGCCCCTACATCATATCGTGTATACTTATTTATCCTCTTTTTCTTAAAATATGTATTACCTATAACTAAACCCCTTTCTATACAAAGTTCAATCAAAGGGCTCCCATTATCATTTACACCTGGCACCCCAAACTTACCTACCACACCCTCTCTAAAAGTTTCTCCTACTTTAGCATTCAGGTCCCCTACCACAATTACTCTCTCACTTGGTTCAAAGGCTCCTATACATTCACTTAACATCTCCCAAAATCTCTCTCTCTCCTCTGCATTCCTCTCTTCTCCAGGTGCATACACGCTTATTATGACCCACTTCTCGCATCCAACCTTTATTTGTTATTCAGAGCATTTCCGGCAAATTAGGTCAATTTTGTCCACACAAGCTGACTGACACCCAGGTACCTATTTCACTGCTAGGTAAACAGGGACAGCAGGTGTCTTAAGGAAACACGTCTTAATGTTTCCACCAGTACCGGGGATCGAACCATGGACCTCAGTATGTGAGCTGAGTGTGCTAGCAGTCGAGCTTCGGTACAAAACATTGGCTGACAAAACATTTCTAGAAAATCAAAAAAAGGTCCATTAATTGTATAACGTAACATTTCTAAACAATATTAAGATAAAGGGAAAGTTTAGCTACATAAATTTCAAAGTATGATGTATAGGGTAGAAAATACGGCATCACAACAGTAGGATGACACAAGAATATCAAAGTAAACTATTGTGCTTCAAAAAAATATTATGTTGGTATTGTTATTATATATTTCACTTTTAGATGTGACTATTGTTGTTTTTCATAATCCTCGATTTTTGTTTTCTAACGTTCATATCACCGAGTTCAATATATTCATTGACCTGAGAAAGAAAAATGTTAAGTAGGGTAACTGATGGAATTTTGTTAGAAGGTCTGGGTGGGTTGTACAGATATATGAGTTGAAAATGTTCAGTACGGGTTAGACATGTTTAGTATGAACCAGTAGGCCTACTGCTCTTCTTGTTATATCATGGCTTATGTTCTCTTTTAGGTTTGGTCGTGGTGACCGAAACTTCCTGAGGTTCGGCCGCTCTGTGGATCGTCAGAAGAGCTCTATGTCTTTCGAAAACTGCGATGAAGAGCCTAAAACCCATGATGTCACCTCCACCCCGTCCCCAACCCCAGTCCAGCCCATGACCCGCACCAAGCAACAAGCTGCGACCCACAGCATAGCTTCTTCGGATTCAGATAAGACAACATCCCATCGCATGAAGAGAAATGTTTCACGTGTCTATGGCTACATCACACTGCCAACCCACACCAGAGACATCAACCCTGAAGAAGACGCCATCAACGTTGCTTATTCAGACGAGCCACAGGTCGTAGATAAACGCGGCTATAACAAAGGTTTTCTGCGCTTCGGCCGCGATCGTAACTTTCTGAGATTCGGCAAGAGGGATGTTTCCGGCGAATACCCAACCTACTCCTCCATCTCCTCCTCAGAGTCCAGCGGATCCCAGCTGGGGGAGAGGCCAGCCAGGGCGCACCAGAGAAATTTTATCCGCTTCGGCTGAACTAGAGAAAATAAAATCAGGGCCTTCATCCTAACCCCGTACCTTTATTTTCCCACTCCTGACCTTTATCACCCCCCCCTCTCCTTCCCTGTTTTACCTAATAGTATAAGTTCCCTATATTTGTTACCATATCTGTTTAGATAAATATTATTTTTTCCCCGTTTCCTTCCATATAAATTAAAATCGTGTACAGATATTTGGGGGAATTGCTTCAAAACTCAATAATTTGAAGTTCAGGAAATTTGTATGCATATACAAATATTAATAATACATTCTGACAAGATTATATAAGTCACGATACTGTGGCTAGAACAATAATTAACAACTAACTCACAATTTACATGGACCTAAACATCGCCCAACATTTCCTCTCCAAAGTTTGTTAGTTGAAACAAACATCGTATAACTTACACGAGGCATCAGACTGGCTAATCTTTTGATTATATATATATATATATATATATATATATATAATTATATATATATATATATATATATATAATATATATATATATATATATATATATAAAATATATATATATATATATATATATAAAATATTCATTTGATGTTAATGGTCAATTAAACTGCCCTAGATGATAGCAATGGTGACATAATAACAATGGCTGCTGTACCTCAACACATCCCACCTGTTTGTGTCTGTTTTAGTGTCAACAATTGTACATATCAATATTTTCTCAGTCTTGGACACTTATAGTCAGTTGGTACTCAACTGTGGGGTGTTTGTATCTAGAAACTTAATTGAGTTACACTTACAACCTTACTTGAGTTACATCTACAAACTTGCTTGAGTTACACCTTAAAAAAATAAAGTATTTGAGTTAAGCCTAGAAATAAACATTCACTATATATGCAGTTAAGCTTATAATCTTTTTTAAGCTATGCATAAAAATTACGATTTCGCGAGTTAGTTATAACTCGCATATAACCTTGATAAAATACGTTAATGCAAATTAAATATATACAGATCATATATTTTCATTGTATGGCAAGTGTTCTGCTTCCTGACAAACTTAACCTAACCAAGTTTCAATATTTCTTCAAAGGCTGGATAACCTCATGGCTCTGTTATTAATAACCATTCAGAAATCCTTAAACTAACTGATCATTATACTCTATATATATATATATATATATATATATATATATATATAATATATATATATATATATATATATATAATATATATATTATATATATATATATATATATTATATATATATATATATATATATGAGTGAAAACTGGAAATAAAACCTGAGCACTTCATGTGCTTTACACATACATCTTCAGAGGAATAGGAAGAAGAGGTAAGAGAAGGACATTTTATTAAATGTTAAACCTTGAGGTGACGCCTCACTCAGAGGTGACAACACCTGACACAAACATGTCTCGCACAAACCTGAACACACGCATGTATTTGTCCAACATCAAGTTAAATTCTTCACCTGACAAAGAACACACTTTGTGTTTTTGTGAACAATATTTTTACCTTTTACGATTATGGACAATATTTTGGACTATGAAACTGTCAAGTTTATACATTCCAGAACACAAATTTGAAATATGTGCATGATAATGATAATTCCACAATATTTCATTGAACTGTAGAAGTACCTGGAAGTAATTCTTTGACATTAGTCCAAACTACACAATGGTCTGTATCTCTTACATGAATGAACAAAACACTGGATTCTTGTCCACTGGATATTGCATATTTGTGTTGTTTAACTCTGGTCTCAAGAGATTTGCCAGTTTGTCCTAAATAAAATGTATCACAACTTTTACATGGGATGGAGTATACTCAACCTACAGATTCTTTGGTAGAAATTTTTTAACTAATATGACAATACTGTGGAAACAATAGTTAAAAAATCTGCCAAGGAATCTGTAGGTTGTGAATACTCCATCCCATGTAAAAGCTGTCATACATTTTATTTAGAACAAACTGGTGAATATCTTGAGATCAAAGTTAAACAATATATTATTATTATTATAAACAGAAAAGAAGCGCTAAGCCACAAGGACTATACAGCGTTAAACAATATAAATATGAAGTATCTAGTAGACAAGAATCCATTGCTTTATGCATTAATACGAGACATAGATCATTCTGTAAATTATACTAATGACAAAGAATTCCCTGTTAATATTTAGTTCAGTGAAGTATTGTGGAATTATCTCTTCAATTTTCAATTCAATTCAATTCAATTCAAAGTTTATTCTCAAGTTTATGCTCAACAAAGTTTATGCTCAAAGTTTATGCTCAACATATTTCAAATTTATGCTGTGAAATGTATACACTTGACAACTTTGTAGTCCAGAATATTGTTTATAATTTTAAAGGTAAAAATATTGTTCACAAAAACACAGTGTGTTCTTTGTCAGGTGAACAATTTAACTTGATGTTGGACAAGTGAATGTGTGGGTTAGGTTTGTGTGAGGTGTTGTCACCTCTGAGTGAGGTGTTGTCACCTCTGAGTGAGGTGTCACCTCAGGTTTTAACATTTAAAATGTGCTTCTTACCTCGTCTTCCTATTCCTCTGAAGATGTGTATAAAGCACATGAAAGCGCTCAGGTTTTATTTCCTATTTTCACTGGTATTATATATATATATATATATATATATATATATATATATATATATAATATATATATATATATATATATATATATATATATATATATATATATATGTATATATATATATATATATATATATATATTATATGTCGTGCCGAATAGGCAGAACTTGCGATCATGGCTTAAATAGCAACGCTCATCTTGCCATATAGGACAAGTGAAAATTTGTGTATGCAATAATTTCGCCAAAATCATTCTGAATCTAACGAAAAAAATATATTTGATTGTGTTTGTTTAGTATTAAATTATTGTAAACGTATTTAAAATATATTTAGTTGCGTTAGGGTAAAATGAATTTTTTTTTTCTTATAATAAGGTTAGGTAAGTTTTCTAAGATTCTTTTGGTGCAAAATTAAAATTTCTTACATTAACATTAATGAAAAAAATATATCTTTAAACGTATAAGAGAAAATTTCAGAAAGGACTTAATTTTAAATGAGTTCTTGCTAATTGACCAGTTTTACATATTCGGCACGACATATATATATATATAATATTATATATATATATATATATATATATATATATATATATATATATATATATATATATATATATATATATATATATATATAATATATATATATATATATATATATATATATATATATATTATTATATGCAAAACAACCACTGTGAAAGAATAATGAAATTCCAAGTGCTTTCGTGACTACTTACATTATCAAGGAGCAATATATATATATATATATATATATATATATATATATATATATATATAATATATATAATATATATATATATATAACTGTTATAGGGACCCTCATCCTCAGAGAAAAGAATAAACTTGCTTCAGGGAAAACTCAATGTTCTTCCTGAAGCTGTTTGAGAATTTTCTCCTACCACCCCTATATTTTATATATATTTTATTTAATGACAAAATACATTGACAAAACATTCACAAAAATATGATAGAAAGTAAAACAACATAGGTAACTCAGAGCTACATCTCGAATACTTCGTCCAGCTCCCCGGCGGTGGGCCATGTGCCCAGAATGCTGCAGGCATTTCCTCTCTGGATCGCAACACTGAGTCTCTGAAAGAGGAAGCTGGTCGCCCTGTGGTCCTTGGTTTCTATGATGAGCTTTTCACCCAGCTCTATTAGGAACTTTAGAGCACACTTGCCCCATGCTCCAATGGTCTCCGACCCTATTGGGATGAAGTTATAGCAAGGGGGAATATATATATATATATATATATATATATATATATATATATATATATATATATATATATATATTATATATATTATATATATATTATATATAAGAGAGACAAGTAAATCTAGTCAATTAATTACCTAGTTAATTTATTACTTTAATTAGGCTGCCTCAATACCCACATTATTATTACGTATCTGCACTATTGTATAAGATAGTAGTTACTTATAAAAGTACTTAAATAGAGATTTATTTTAGATGTAAAAGGCTGGCATAGTTGTATTAGGATATATATGTGTTCGGAAAAGGAACTTTTGACCAGAGTGGTCGTTTCATTGACCAGTCACAGCAAATGCTCATGGATATGGGAGCTTCTCATTGGCTTAGAAGTTACATGGAAAAACAACAATTAAATAGCGAGATGCATAATGTGGGACTGGAACCCACACCACGGGCCATAGGTTCAAATCCCACTCTGCTCCTCAACAATAAATAAACAAGATTTCTCTTTTGTATGATATTTGCAAAAAAAAAATGGATGTTGAAAAATGTTATTTTAATGTCCGAATTACTTAACTACCATCGACTAATCTTGTCAAAACCAAAATTTCAGGACACTATCCAAGAATATAATTTTAATGTATTTTCTATTTTTTTTTTTGAATCACCGAGGAGGGGTCGAGTACCCCCTGACGTTAAGTGTCAAACGTCAGCTGCCAATATATATTGACATCAGCTGTTAATATATATTGATGTCAGCTCATATACACTGACCCATGTACATCAGCGCTATTATCAGCCAGTGTTAGCCAACTCTATCTATCTATCTTAAAAACAAAACAAAAAATGAATTGTCAAAAGTCCACTTGAAACTGAAAAGAAAACGCACTTTGTTATATTGTGCCTGTGTTTTCAAAAAATTTTCTTTCTATTATTATGTGGAAGAAAAGTGAACATTTAGCCCTTGAACAATCATAACCTGAACATCCATGAAGAAAAAAAATGTTCAACTGAGATGGTAAATAATGTAGAAGAAACATCCCTTGCATATTGTTGAAATAAATTATTTATATCTCATGATCTTTTATTTTACCCTTTCTAATGTAACAATGATAATTAAGACAATAACAACAATAATGAATACAATAAGAACTACAATAATAAAAAATAATAGGCTAATACTGCTATAATAATAATGACAATAATAATAATAATAATAATAATAATAATAATAATAATAATAATAATAATAATAATATATCTGAGGTCAATATATCTGAAATGCGTAGGGAGACACTGGTCAGAGAAATAGCAAGCATCGAACTTAAGCTAAAAGAATCCTTTAGGAGTCAGGAATCGCGGGAAGAACTAAAAGCCATAAATGAAATCGAAAGAAACCCAAAGTATTTCTTCTCCTATGCCAAATCAAATTCGAGAACAACGTCCAGTATTGGGCCCCTACTTACACAAGATGGGTCCTACACAGATGACAGCAAGGAAATGAGTGAGCTACTCAAGTCCCAATATGACTCAGTTTTTAGCAAGCCGCTAACCAGACTGAGAGTCGAAGATCAAAATGAATTTTTTATGAGAGAGCCACAAAATTTGATTAACACAGCCTATCCGATGTTATCCTGACGCCAAATGACTTCGAACAGGCGATAAATGACATGCCCATGCACTCTGCCCCAGGGCCAGACTCATGGAACTCTGTGTTCATCAAGAAAGGCAAGAAGCCCCTATCACGAGCCTTTTCCATCCTATGGAGAGGGAGCATGGACACGGGGTCGTCCCACAGTTACTAAAAACAACAGACATAGCCCCACTCCACAAAGGGGGCAGTAAAGCAACAGCAAAGAACTACAGACCAATAGCACTAACATCCCATATCATAAACATCTTGAAAGGGTCCTAAGAAGCAAGATCACCACCCATCTAGAAACCCATCAGTTACACAACCCAGGGCAACATGGGTTTAGAACAGGTCGCTCCTGTCTGTCTCAACTATTGGATCACTACGACAAGGTCCTAAATGCACTAGAAGACAAAAAGAATGCAGATGTAATATATACAATTTGCAAAAGCCCTTCGACAAGTGTGACCATGGTGTAATAGCGCAAAAAATGCGTGCTAAGGAATAACAGGAAAAGTCGGTCGATGGATCTAAAATTTTCCTCACTAACAGAACACAGAGAGTAGTCGTCAACAGAGAAAAGTCCGAGGCAGCTACGGTGAAAAGCTCTGTTCCACAAGGCACAGTACTCGCTCCCATCTTGTTCCTCATCCTTATATCCGACATAGACAAGGTTTGTCAGCCACAGAAACCGTGTCTTCCTTTGCAGAGACACCCGAATCTGCATGACAGTGTCTTCCATTGCAGACACTGCAAAGCTCCAGGCAGACATCACCAAATCTTTCAGTGGGCTGCAGAAAACAATATGAAGTTCAACGATGAGAAATTTTTAATTACTCAGATATGGTAAAACATAGGAAATTAAATCTTCATCAGAGTACAAAACAAATTCTGGCCACAAAATAGAGCGAAACACCAACGTCAAAGACCTGGGAGTGATCATGTCGGAGGATCTCACCTTCAAGGACCTAACATTGTATCAATCGCATCTGCTAGAAAAATGACCCGGATGGATAAAGAGAACCTTCAAAAATGGGAGGCCAAGCCCATGATGACATCTTCAGGTCACTTGTTCTATCTAGGCTGGAATATTGCTGCACACTAACAGCACCTTTCAAGGCAGGTGAAATTGCCGACCTAAAAAAATGTACAGAGAACTTTCACGGCGCGCATAACGGAGATAAAACACCTCAATTTTGGGAGCGCTTGAGGTTCCTAAACCTGTATTCCCTGGAACGCAGGAGGGAGAGATACATGATTATATACACCGGAAAATCTAGAGGGGCTAGTACCGAACTTGCACACGAAAATCACCCACTACGAAAGCAAAAGACTTGGGAGACGATGCACCATCCCCCCCAAAGAAAAGCAGGGTGTCACTAGCACGTTTTAAAAGACCATACAATAAGTGTCAGGGCCCGAGACTGGTTCAACTGCCTCCCCACACAAAAGGGGGAAACCAACGCCCCCCGGGCATTTTTCAAGCGGGCACTGGACAAGCACCAAAGTAGTTGGGACACCGGGCTGTGGTGTATGTTGGTTTGGGCAGCCAGCAGCAACAGCCGGTTGATCAGGCTCTGATCCCCAGGGGGCCTGGTTCGACCGGCGCGGGGGCGTTGCCCCCGGAACTCTCTCCAGGTAAATCCGGTTATGCTGAGAAAAATAAACTGCCCTTACGGGAAATTGTTGTTCTGGGTACACAAAGAAAATATCATAGTGAAAATTACTTATAAAAAAAAAAAAAAAAAAGAAGTCGTGACTTATTGCCATTTGGATCCTTGATTTCCATTGGCGCCCTTTTATTTCCTTAGGGGGCTTTATTTCCACTGGGGGGCCTTGATTACATGGGAGACATCCATAAATGTCGGGGCCCAGACGTTCAATGCCCCCACATCATCGGGGAGTCCAAGACTCCTGGCTGTCTTCAAGAAGGCCTGGCAGGCCCTAAAGTCTACCCGACCACCGGCTGTAGTTCGTCGTGGGTTTTCGTGCGGGCCCGCAGTAACAGCCTGGTTTCGCCCCGATCCACCATGAACCGGTCAAGACCGGGGGGGGGCGGGACCCCCCAAACCCTCTCCAAAACTCCCCGAGTACTTGATTTTCCCCTGGGGGGGTCCTTTTTTTACATTAGGGGCCTTGATTTTCATTTTGGATCTTGATTTTCATTAGGGTACTTTTAATTAGGGTCCTTGTCTTAGTTTACCGCAAATAAACTCTACTAACAACCCTTAGTCTGGGATTACGGTGGGTCAAACAAACCCCCCCCTAAAAATTGAAGAAAATACTGGGCCAAATTTCAAAAACAAAATAGGCTTACTTAGCTGGGGTTCCGAACTGTCCTTCCACTGTTTAATGCTCACGTTTGCAGGACTGCAAATCCAACAATTTCAGCTCCTATTTGAGAGGTTTTAAGCCCAATATAACCCCTAGAGCAACGAAAATTTATGCACATTTCACTAACGTGCTTTTACCACATTCAAAACAATGGCGTCTCCCCCCCAGCGACGTTCACCAATTTCGATGGTTCTTTATTTATTTACAAATTAATTTTTATTACCTACAATATATTCCATCAATTTACATACAAAATATATTGTATTTTCCGGAAAATATATACAGTATTTTCCCCAAGGGCAATACAGTGTCAGACGGGAAGTTATTATTATAATCAAAAAGAAGCGCTAAACCACAAGGGCTATACAGTATCAGACAGGAAGTTATTATTATAATAAAAAAGAAGCGCTAAACCACAAGAGCTATACAGTAGCAGACGGGAAGTTATTATTATAATAAAAGAAGCGCTAAACCGCAAGGGCTATACAGTTAGCAGACGGGAAGTATGGACACTCACTTCACTCCCCTCACTTGTAAGTTAATTAAGTTTAATTAGACACAGGGCCAGGAGCTGAGTCTCAACCTCAGCAACCACAATTAGGTGAGTACATAAGTACAATTATCATACATAGTGTAAATTACCTAGGATAACCCCAAAAAAGTTAAAGTGACTTATTTGGGGTCTTTGCAGGAAAGATAAAAGGCAATATTTTTTGTACCGTTATTTTGGGGGTTTATGGGTATATTTAATGAGTAATATTTTTTTTAGAGTTTTTTTTTTAAGATTGTTCTTGTGACTTAACAGTTTTAGCCAACTGAACTAAACTGTATAATTTATCACTATACTTATTTTTATCATTCGTGTTCAGAATACAAAATATGTAGAAACACTTTTATAAATAATCTGTGGCTTTCACTTTTTTAAAATTCGACCAGATATTAAGCGTAGCCTTATCATATTCAAACTAACTTTCATTAAATTGAAAATATACCTTTATTTTATCTCTTATGTATATAAAAGATAAGAGAAAAGTAGTTAAAATATTAATTTATTGTTGTATATATACATACATCAAGAAAGGTGAATAAAAACGTCGTAATAAAATGCTGAGTGTTGGACGCAGCAGTACCTTGAGGCAGCAGGTGTACAGTAACTGTTGTCTTAACTTGACTAATATAAAGTTGCTCACAGCCTCCTAGACTATGGAACCCGCTGCTCAGAGGCTGGAAGTCCTTGTGAGTCTAAATCTCCTTCATTACTGACAAACTGTATATTTATATAAGCTGCAGTAGGGAAAAATACGTGTTTATCATTGGCCTTATTTTTTTTGTTATTTGCAGTGGGCTGTCTCGTAAGGCTTCTATATATAGTTATTTTTTCTCGTAAAACCGATTAAATAATTACACCCAAAATAAGTTAGCCCATGGAAAGGGCTTCCATATTACGGTCTATTCAGTTTTCGATGATCTTTTATTATACGTTTTACGAAAAACTGCATTATATAAAGGAGCATCTTGAAGACTTTATGGTATAGCTTTTCTATGGTGTCTTCTATCCATTATTACTTGGGATGTTTTTGTAAGTTTTCAGCTGTTAATGGACCACCATGAAACTAAGTCATTGACTTTTTTTGGGGAGTTATCCTAGGTAATTATGTGGTAATTATACCTGTGTACCTGTGTCTAAATACACTTGCCCTGGAATTGTACATTCAGTGAATGTAATTTGAGATAAAAGGGCAGATTTATAGTAACTATGGCATGAAAGTCATCTATATACTTTGTATAATATCTATAAACTGATATTACATAGCCATCTTTAAGCCCAGGACTTAATATGTGATAATACTCATGGTCCTGACAAAGCCCTATTTAGGTCGAAAGATTAATTTAGTGTTTTGAAGCTTACATTTCCTGTTACATAAATTCTCCGATATTAAGTGGGTTAGAGAATGGAGGTACTTGTATTTTGGGCCTCTAGAATTTTTTTTTTATTATATAACCCAATAATAAATGTGCTTGTCAGGGCCTCGGGGAACTTTTACACGGGTCTTTTAATTTTGATAATTTAATAGTTTTAAATTGGTATATTAATACTATATTGGTATTGCATTTTTTTTTTTTTTTAATTTTATCTAGTTATACATATGTTAAGGCACTAAGTGACTGGTAGTACTTCGTAAATATTACAGCAAGTGCTACTACCGAAAATAAATGTAACCAAACTTACTGAAAATTTCCCTCTCTTAAGTTAGTTTTTTCCTTGACTAAATTTACTTAAACAACGTTTTGCTAAACTAAAAAATCGAGCTCGAAGCTCGATCTAACCGCTGAAATTTTTTTTTTTCCACCAAACCTCTTTTTCTCTTTCTCCCCCTCTACTGGCTTTCCTTACGGGTTAAAGGAAACTGAAAAATATTCTCCCTCGCCCAAGATTGAACCCAAACGGGTTGCTAGCCATTTAGAAAAAGGGTTTTTTCTCTGGATATTAAAAATTTTTCCCTTTGGGAGCAGGGGACTTTGTCTTTTGACGGGCTTAAACCCCACAGACTTTTTGGGTGGACCAACCTGACCAATGCTTATTACTACATCCCTACCATAAGATTCTTCTTTGTACTTTTTTTTTTTTTTTTTTTTTTTTTTTTTTTTTTTTTTCATTTAAAAAAAGCCATGGGGCTTATTTGGTAGCACCGGGCTCACACGACCACTCGTGTTTGGGGTTTTCAATATTCAAAATGATGGGAACATTAATAATTTTTTCTTACTCTCCCTTTTTTTACTTAGCATAATAGGTCCCGGGTGACGGGTGGGGGTTGCACCCTGGAGGAAAAGGATTAAAAAAAGGGACCCTTTGAAATAATCTCCGTGACACCCGACGACAAAATTACTTGGTTAAATAATCAAAAAATTTTTTTAAAATAATACATAAATCTCTTGCTGGCAAAGACTCATTTAAACACTTTAAATCCTTTAACTATTGGGTTACTCCAGGTAATTTAGGGGATTTTAGTCAATTTATTAAGTTTTTTTAAAATACAGGTAACAAAATTTCATAAAATTATCAAAAAAGTGGTACTTCGAGTTTTTGAACAGCTCCCCGCCGAACAAATTTTTAATGTATTTCTGAAGGCTTTTGTAATTTTTGGAAATCTGAAACGGGCTAATCAATTTACATTATTCCTTTTTGAACATTCGTTTGTATTGGGACTCGAACGGCCTTTCTGGAACAAAAAAAGTTCATAATTTAGGGACCACTGTACATAGAAGCATATGTGTAATTATCTAGGATAACCTTAAAAAAAAAAAAAAAGCCAGTGACTTATTTCCATTGGGGTCCTCATAATATTTTACTATTTAACCTTTAAAAGTTAAAACAGCTAAGTAACTCGACTGTGTAACAAGCACTTAAAATGAGATAGTGCTAGGAATAAGGTAAACCAAGTTTATTCGCATTCTCCTTAAAGAGAGGATCAGATCACAGTAATAAGTACATGTATGTTAGCTATACAAGAAATCACTTTTCCCTTTCTGTAACGTCACTCGTCAGATACCTTTTAGCTCTTTCTGAACTGGTTCATGTTGTGACAGGCTTTGACATGTGTAGACAGTCCATTCCACTCTTTTATTGCTGTACAATAAAAGGTGTTTGAAGCCTGACCACTTACTGCAGGTACTACAAAGTTGTATTCCCTTCCCCTAGTACCATACTGGTTTTGGTTCCCAACCCTGACAAATTTTTGGCAGCAAGATATTCTGGACTCTGCTTGTAAGCAATTTTATAAATGTGATTAACTTCTGTTTTACTCCATCTTCAACATTCATCGTATCCAGTTGCGATTCATCCTGACCTACATGCTCTTTTGGACCTAGGATATTACTAAATAAGACAATCCAAAAACACTCAACTTGTGTAAGAAACCTGACTAAAAATGTAATGCTCCTTGTTGATGCTTAAAGGGTATCCCACATAGGCCAATAGGCACTATGCCTACTAGCCCATGTTAAGCAGGTTCCTCTCAAAGACCCAGCTATTTTTGTACAAGATTTCAGTGTCTCCTTCACCTTGCTAGTGACAGGTATGAAGGCTGTAGTGCTGCACTTAGGGTTGCACCTGACTTGTCACCTTCTACATAAGGTGCCCTCCTTCCTTTAGTGTACATTCTGCTGGTGAGGACTCCAGGTGAGTTGAAATGTAAGTTTCATTTCCATTACTGTTTTCTTGTCTACATGTGGAGTACTCTTCAGTGACCTAGATAAAGTAAAGGTTCTCTTTGGTAAGCTTGCCACTGAGTTAACATTTTCTGCTATATCATACCTTATTGTAATAAGACAAATCTTCAAACATCTGTTTAAGTTTCAACAATAGATGCATTAAGCTCACTATTATAGGCATAATAGTGATTGAATTGAGGATTTATCCCAGGATAACTATAAACAAAGTTAAATGGTATAATTTATTTCCATTTTTTTGAATCTCTAGTCAGAAAATACCCATTGCAATCTTTTTACAGTTGTTTATCAGGTACTTGATGCTGGCTGCATACTTTTAGTACTCCCAAATTATGGTATAGCCCTTAACCCTGGTTTGATATTGATTTGGTTCTAATCTTTTTAAAAAGAAAGAAAAAAAGAGGAGGCAGTATAATTTGGACATGATTCAGCATTTCTGACTTTGCAGTTCACTCTGACCTATGTTTCCTTGCACCATAGTCCAGGATAAATCATACAACCATATTTTGGATAACTTGAAGCCTTGTTTGTCAGAGTACAGTACTGTACCACAATGAGCACTTGTAAACTGTATAACATTGCATCAGAGCCAAACAAAGTATTAGAGCAAGTTCCTTGATGAGCATGAGTAATCTGCATGACATTGTATATGAGGCATACATAGGATCTTGCATGCCTTAAATTATAGAATACATCTAACAGTTATGGCCATTACCTCTCTGGAGGCAGGGTTTTTGGAATCATTGGTAAATTTGTTAAATTCAACATAACATTGTATATTAAGACAAATAATGATCTACAATAATTTCAATGTCATTGGAAGGACCTTGTTATTACTTAGTGTTGGCAGAATTTATTGCAAATTAATCACACATAACTGAACAACTTGTTATAATAAAAAAAAAATAAATTAAATTTTGAAGGCCATAGGCTCTAAATTCCTAGGTATACCAACGGTTTATTTTGAATCAAGTTCTCGATAATACGAAGTGCAAAGATTATGGGGAGAGGGGGGGAAGGGTCTCTCACAGTTAAAACTCTGCAGTATAGGGTTGCCTCTGGCATTCTCATTTCGATCGTCCACGTTGGTTTGCGTGCAGCCAGCAGTAACAGCCTGGTTGATAGGCTCTGATCCACCAGGAGGCCTGGTCACAGACCGGGCCGCGGGGGCGTTGGCCCCCAGAACTCTCTCCAGGTGTTCCTATGAGCAAATGTACTACATTACAGTATTTTCTTATTTGTAGGTTCTTGGCCACAAAGCACTCGGTGCTCCAGTGAAAATGCAACTTGTGGGGATGGAGCAAGGGAGTGCGAATGGAGTGAGCAAGTGTGACTTGAGTTTGTGTTTGAGAAGGTAGCTTCATTTTTAGCAGGTTTTCAGGACTGGGAAGTGCGGGAGAAAGGCGAATTGGAGAGGGTCATTCAGAAAAGTATTTTGCAGAAAGAAATGGAGAAATTCCAGCTTGATTGGAAACTGGAAGTTAACTATACACAATGCTTGGCAGATAAAGAATTTGAGACAATCAAGAAGTGAGAATTACTTTAATTGTTCATTAATAGTTATTTGTGTGTTGTGATTGAAAGGAGTCTCTTACAATGTCAATGTCAAAATTGTATTGGGGAGATATTATATATATACGTATATATATTATAAATTATATATAAATATTTTGCGTGCGTGAGCGTGTTAGATAGGAGTGAATGGAGACAAATGGTATTTGGGACCTGACGAGCTGTTGGAGTGTGAGCAGGGTAATATTTAGTGAAGGGATTCAGGGAAACCGGCTATTTTATATAACCAGACTTGAGTCCTGGGAATGGGAAGTACAATGCCTGCACTCTAAAGGAGGGGTTTGGGATATTGGCAGTTTGGAGGGATATATTGTATTTTTTATACGTATATACTTCTAAGGGAGGAGGAAGTTCGGGTGAGATATAAGCGACTGTTGGCAGAAAGGTGGGTAGTGAAAACTGAGTAGGGGGGGGGGGGGTTGAAGGGGTTGGAATATTTTTTAAAAAATAAAAGGTATTAAATGTGGGGCAGAAGTTTGGGGTTTATAGGAGGGTGGGGGCAGGGGGGAAAGAGGAGTGTTTTGGGGAATGGTAAAAGTGGGGGTGTGATAAAAAAAAAAAAGGTAGCTTATGGGGGTTTTTTTTAAAAAGAGAAGTGTTATAAGAAAAAGAAAGGATAGGAGAGTAAAAGAAGGGAGAGAGGGGTGAGAGAGTGCAAAAGGGAGAATGAAAGTGGGAGGGGGCATTGTCAAGAAATTTTAAATGAAAAAAAAAAACTTTTGGAGTGAGTTAAACAAGTTAAGAAAGCCAAAGGGAAAGTAGGGTTTTGCATTAAAAACAGATTAGGAGTTAGTAGTGGGGAGAGGGGAGGTATTAGGTAGATGGCGAGAATATTTTGAGGAATTTTTTTAAAGTTGAGGAAAAAAAGGGGGCGGTAATTTTTCAGCCGGGGAGGTATACCATCTTTAAGGGGGGAAGGCAAATGTAAGTGTGGGGGTACGTGGGGATTAGTAGAAGAAAGGGGGGAAAGCAGCGGAAAATGATAGGATTTATGACAGAAATGTTAAAAACAGGGGGGGATATGGTGTTGGAGTGGTTGGTATTTTTGTTTAATAAAAGTATAAAGAGGGGAAGGTACCTAGGATTGGCGGAGAGCAGTATAGTCCCTTTTTATAAAGGGGAAAGGGGGCAAAAAAAATTGTAAAAAAAAAGGGGGAATAAGTTTAGGGTATACCAGGAAAAGTAACGGTAGGGGGTTTTAATTGAAAAAATTAGGGGTAAGACAGAATGGAGGATTTCGGGTGGCGGGAGGGTTTTAAGTGGGTAGGGGGTTGTAATCAAGTGGTTTACATTTAAGATAATGTAAATATTTAGAAAAGGGAGGGAAATTTTTATTTCATTTATGGATTTAGAAAAAGCATATGATAGAGTGGATAGAGGAGCAATGTGGCAGATGTTTGCAAGTATATGGAATAGTGGTAAGTTCCTAAATGCTGTAAAGAGTTTTTATGAGGATAGTGAGGCTCAGGTTAGGGTGTGTAGAAGAGAGGGAGAATACTTCCCGGTAAAAGTAGGTCTTAGACAGGGATGTGTAATGTCACCATGGTTGTTTAATGTATTTATAGATGGGGTTGTAAAAAGTAAATGCTAGGTGTTCGGGAGAGGGGTGGGATTAAATTGTGGGGAATCAAATTCAAAATGGGAATTGACAGTTACTTTTTGCTGATGATACTGTGCTTATGGGAGATTCTAAAGAAAAATTACAAAGGTTAGTGGATGAGTTTGGTAATGTGTGTAAAGGTAGAAAGTTGAAAGTGAACATAGAAAAGAGTAAGGTGATGAGGGTATCAAATGATTTAGATAAAGAAAAATTTGATATCAAATTGGGGAGGAGGAATATGGAAGAAGTGAGTGTTTTCAGATACTTGGGAGTTGGCGTGTCGGCGGATGGATTTATGAAGGATGAGGTTAATCATAGAATTGTTGAGGGAAAAAAGGCGAGTGGTGCGTTGAGGTATATGTGGAGTCAAAAAACGTTATCTATGGAGGCAAAAAAGGGAATGTATGAAAGTATAGTAGTACCAACACTCTTATATGGATGTAAAGCTTGGGTGGTAAAGGCAACAGCGAGGAGACGGTTGGAGGCAGTGGAGATGTCCTGTTTAAGGGCAATGTGTGGTGTAAATATTATGCAGAAAATTCGGAGTGTGGAAATTAGGAAAAGGTGTGGAGTTAATAAAAGCATTAGTCAAGAGGGCAGAAGAGGGGTTGTTGAGGTGGTTTGGTCATTTAGAGAATGGATCAAAGTAGAATGACATGGAAAGCATATAAATCTATAGGGGAAGGAAGGAGGGGTAGGGGTCATCCTCGAAAGGGTTGGAGAGAGGGGGTAAAGGAGGTTTTGTGGGCTAGGGGCTTGGACTTCCAGCAAGCGTGCGTGAGTGTGTTAGATAGGAGTGAATGGAGACGAATGGTACTTGGGACCTGACGATCTGTTGGAGTGTGAGCAGGGTAATATTTAGTGAAGGGATTCAGGGAAACCGGTTATTTTCATATAGTCTGACTTGAGTCCTGGAAATGGGAAGTACAATGCCTGCACTTTAAAGGAGGGGTTTGGGATATTGGCAGTTTGGAGGGATATGTTGTGTCTCTTTATACGTATATGCTTCTAAACTGTTGTATTCTGAGCACCTCTGCAAAATCAGTGATAATTTGTGAGTGTGGTGAAAGTGTTGAATGATGATGAAAGTATTTTCTTTTTGGGGAGTTTCTTTCTTTTTGGATCACCCTGCCTCAGTGGGAGACAGCCGACTTGTTGAAAAAAAAAAAATGTATATATATATTGTTAATCTTGCAATTATTTTCGTAAATGAATAAAATTTTTCAAATATTTAAGATTTGTGACATTGTGTACATGTTAGAAGCAATGTAATGTCTTGCTTAATCAAATAGTTGAAACAAAATCATGGCTGCAAAACTGCTAACAAATGGTTTTCAGACAATTTCACTTCAAATTTTTGTAAGGGTAAGGAGCAAAATCAATATTGTATTGGGGAGAGTGGACATAATTTTTTGGTAACCACTGTATGCAGCCAGGCATCAGTTGTCCTTCATAAAGCTGTAATACTGAAATGGTTCACCTAATCATGTAATGCTATAAGCATGTACTATATTATAATCATGTTGGGTAAAACTGTAGTAATATTACAATACGTACTATAATTAATAATGTAATACTGTAGTTAGTAATACTGTAAATAAATGACTAAAACTGAGAACTGTCTAATTGGTGAAGCTGCAGAAACACAGGAAAACATTTATGTATTAATGCTGTACCAGGGGTACCTAATCAGTATTGTAAAATGAGAGGATTTGTTCGGATTTTTAACCCAGAGGGTTAGCCACCCAGGATAAACCAAGAAAGTCAGTATGTCATGGAGGACTCTTATTTCATAGGGGTCCCATAATCTTTTCCCCCCAGGATGTGAGCCATACCTGTCAACTAACATCCAGGCACCTACTTGCTGCAAGATAAACAGCAATAGCAAGTGTAAAGAAACATGCCCATGGACACTAAGGCACGAACATTGCATTGATCCAGTTTGTATTTGGCATAACTTATACAGTGTAAGCTGTTGTCTTGTATTTTTAACGGTTCTTGTTTTTTATACTTTGTACTATTTTTTACCTTTCAAGGGTGTGCCTTGATGCTAGTAGAAGACATGCTCCAAGAACATGAAGCACTACCCTTTCCTCCCTCCCCTTCCTTGGATCAAGCCTTATCACTTCCCATTACCCAAGTTCTGGTATTTAAAAGTTCCCCATTAATATTATGTAGTAGTATTTCCAGAACGTGATGATGACTTATGTATATGCATAAATAAGATACTGTACTGTTCAAAGGGAAAAAAAACAGTGGAAATAAATCATATTACTGGTCCTTGTTGGTTATCTTTGGGAAAAAGTGTAATCTATCAACATTGTATGCCTAACTGGGCATGATGTATATGCACATCTTATTGGATGTAACGTAATGTTAGTATGTACGATATATGCAAAAATTCTAGTACTCGATTTTCCCCAATTTTAGACCATGTCCCACCTAAAATAAAATCCTGGCTCATGTGGTGGATTATGGTAGGTAGTACAGCATTAACCCCTTCAGGGTCCAAGGCCAAAATCTGAAGTGGTGCTCCAGTGTCCAAGAAATTTTGAAAAAAAAAAAAAATTATTTTTTCTTACAGAATTAAAGAGCATATTTTTGTGAAGGTAATAAGACAAAAAAAAAATTCTGATCAGTACGTACTTACCGAGATACAGTGCCAAGAAGTTTGTCGAAAATGATGTGGTGGCGGCAACATCGACGAATTCCACATACGCGCATTACATTATTTTGCGGTTTTTGTTTTTTCTTTTTTTCCAATTTTTTTCTATTCCTACTAACATTTGGGGCCTGAGAGACCAATACTGTATATAATGTACATATATAAACTCACTGTATTGAACACAATAACCGCACTAAAGTTATCATATTATTGTTTACCACTGTTGTTTATTACAATAAACATGCACAAATCTTGTATAATACTAGTGTTATATCATATATTTACATATTTACAATCACTGGACATGGTTTTAGAACTCGGAGCTTGTGGAACTCCTTGAAACAAGGCACCAGCACAGGGGCACCTTACTTTCCTCGCACATAAACCGGGGGTTTTTGCGTCTTTGTTGCCCGTTTTTTTTGTTTGTGCAAGATGATGATCTCTCTGAGCAAATTTCTTCTGGTTGAAGGATTTATTATGAAATGATCACCTTCCCCCCTAAAAACGCTTGGGTATATCCGGGGAATTTTGAGGACCGTGTTGTAAGCGGGTTTTGTTACCTGGTATTTCATATTTTTTGTCGAAAAGACAAACAAAATTCCCCATACAGTGGTCGTTGCCTCTTTATTTGGTAATACTATATGAAATTGAGCATTAAATGTCCATGAGATGGAAGAAAATTTTCATGATCCTTGTAACTCTTACGAACACAGTCCCAAAACCAATCTGCATTCACTTTTGTCAACCAAGCACATGTTTTGTGTATAATCAATCACTGTCACTGGTTTTCGAATACTGTTTCTTTAGCACTCGATCAACTTTGCCACTGTCCTTGCATTTCATTACGGTGAATGGTTTGTCAACATGTACCATCACTCGTTTGTCATGCCACCGTAATGCCATGATGGTCTTTGACAGTAAACAACCTGCACGTCATCACCCGACACCCTGCGTTAAGGCTGGGCATATGTCTACGATTAGAACGCAACTGTGCCACACACATCGTCTTGTTTCACTTATGCATGAAATCACTGAGTTTTATGGGCTTGTGTACCAGTAATAGGTATAAAGGATGTATGCCCCTTACCAAGATAAGGTGCCATTTGATGTTTCTCCACTACTCACCTGAGATACCCAATAACATCTTGGTATCTTTTCAATGGTTTTACTTACCGCGTGTATACAACAATATCCAACACCAGGCCACTGTCACAATCACAGAGTACAAACAGTTTTATACCAAAGCGTTTCCTATTGCACGTATATTACTGCTTGAATGACAGTCTACCTTTGAACAAAATCAGAAGACTCGTCAATTACTAGATTCCTTGTAATGGATAAAAGTATTTGCTGAACTTTTGTTTGAGATACATGGAAACATTTCTAATCTTGGTATAACCTGTCACGTCTGTCAGGCCTGGTTTTTTGTCCAGAGAAGTGCAACATACGTAAGAGTAAGATAAACTGTTAACTGGTATGATTTCACTGAAGACTGGGTAGAATTAGCCGATCTTGGACCAGTATCTTTTTATATTATGCTTAATAGACGTGAGGCAATAAGCATTATTGTTGCAAAAAAGCAAATAACATTTCTGCAACAGTCGTCTCAGTTCCACCTTGTATTCTTGACTGTGGGTGATTAAGATCGTATTTGCCATGGTTGTACTCAAAATACTTATAACTTTCCCTACAATAAATTTCCATCAATAGGCTGGTCAAAGAATAATTCAAAAAAATTCCAGTTTCCATTGGCCGTGGTTCCAAGGGGACAAGTAGGTATAAATTCCACATTGAGAATCATCAAAGTGGTTAGGCTTGGGAACAAAATTGGGGTTTTGCTGCCAATCCCACAAATATGGTTTTTTGCTGGTGGATACTGAGGAATATCTAGGGGTGTTGTGGTGGGCTGTGGGCTGGCGCTGCCGCTTTGTCCTATGAACGCGAGTCCGCAGCGTGGGTCCCAAAGCGTGGCCTGGTGAGTCCACGCATGGCGGTGCCACTACCAATCACCACTAACAACCATCCACTGATGCCAGTGGTCTGTCCTGCCAAGTGTAGCCACATCATCCTCACTATCACTAACCTAAAACTGGTGAGTTGGGTTGGGGCCACAGGATGTACCCTTTCCCCTGGTCCACAGCATCAGGGTACACTACCCAAGCGCATGCGGCGGCGAACATACCGACGCTTCACTGGTAATGATCCTCACTATCGCTACCGATTATCGTCGAGCGCAAAAAAAACACGTCCACGTCAACTATCATCATCATTACTGAAGTCAGAGGCCTGGCCACACGAAAATATTAGTTTTCTCTTTCGGATGAGGAACAAAACCGACCCGGAGTCACGAGTGCCCCACACTCAGAGGTAAAGGTTGAGGATCGTCGGGGTTTTCCTGCACTATTATCGATATCTCTGTTCATTCATTTTCTGGTCCTAACAGAATAAAGAAGCCGTAAACTTCGTCTTCCATTTCCACATACAATCAGTGTCAGGAACTACCAGATAGGTAGAGAGATCCCATTTTCCGGGGAGTGAGAGCTGACTTGGGACGAGGCATGGTGAACAAGGGTAACTGAGCCGGCGTTCCCACAATGCTATGCGGGCGCCTAGATTTTTTGTTTATGGCGCACACCCACCACGCAGACCCGTTCTCACATGTAGGCCTATGAGCGTTTTCGCTCTAAATTTGATGGCGCTAGAATTTTGGCGTAGATCTACGGTTTGGACACTCAACGTAAAGCCGTTGATCTACGGGACGGACCCTGAAAGGGTTAAAATACGAGGGGGGGGGTACATGAGTGCAGTAAGACGTTTTGTACTTTGGTAAGAAAATAGTATGTTGTAGTATTATTTGATTTAGCTCAAATGCTTAATACAGGTTGAATGTAATGTTATACAGTATTGTAGCACTATAATTTTAACACATCTTCAGTTTCATTTCTCAGTGTCAGCATAGAAACAAATGTCGAACCAATAAGTCATTATAATAATTACGATTTTAACAACTCTTTAAATGTTTCTTTGGGAGTTTATTGGTTTTCTGTATAACAAATTGTTTTCCCATCTGATACACATAAGGTATATTAACATTTGTGACTGTTTTATTTCATTATCTTATTGTTTTCTATTTTCAGTTTAGCAAGGCTGAGAGTGAACTGGCAACTCTGTCGTGCATGATTAACCAAGAATTCTCGATTTTGGCTGCAGCACAAGGTGTTGACACACAGGTTAGTCCACCACTCTGTATCAGTTCATGTCAAGGTTGGGGGAGGGGGGAGCGGGTTTACTGATGCTTTTGAAGGGCTCTTCTTTCCAGGAATTTATGCTTCAAAATCCTAGGCAGTTTTTCCTCTTCTGTACAGAGGCTTTGGTCATGTATTGTTGCAGGAGGCTTCTGCCATTTTAAAGTAATGTAATATAAGAAGCTTCTTAACTAGTGTTGCTGCTTATAATTTAATGCATCAAATATTGTTTAAAGTTAGGAAATACATTGAACTCTCTTTACAATTGGAATCTTAACATACGATTTTGTATTAACACTATTGGAAAAAAAAAAGCTATAAAAATTTGTAGCACTTTAAGACTTTAATATTATGTACCAGAGTGTGAATGAATAAGCATATCATAGTTAGGTCCAAGATTTGGGTACAGTAACCTATGCCACGTGCACTTACTTTCTGTGAGCAAATAATTTCTCGAGTTCATCCCCTGGTAAGGAGCCAGTTCCATGAAATTGTTGCTGTGAAGGATTGCAAGACTGAGGCTTTGAAGATATGCATGAAGAATACATAAGCAAAGTTTTAGAAGAGGCTGATGAAGCTTTATAGTTAAGTAAATCTGTGCTTTACGAATGCCGGAAGATAAGCATTTTTCTGTTTTCCCCTCTCTAAGTAATGTAACTTCAAACATGATCCCTCCTTAAAGTTTGTCGATTTTTGCCCATTGTTCACCCTCCAACTAGCAAGATATCCAGCTCTAAGGCTCCAAGACATGATATGCAGGATACAGATGCAATTTGGAGGAATATTTAAAAATATTTTTATGTCCTTTTAATTCAGAATTTTTCAGTTGAAAAGGACAAATTTAGGCAAATTCTCATAATTTTTTTTCTAGCAAGCAAAGATGTTGGATATAAATGGCAGACGTAGACTGTTTCAGTATCAGTATTAATGTGACTTGATTGTTTGTGATTTGTATCTAACATCTGTGTAACAGATAAGACAGCATAGGTTCCCACAATGATACCTCCCTAGTCCTTGCTTTGTGCCTTTCATTTTCTTAGGAAAATAAAAAATTTGATTTACAAACCAAATATTTCTTGTTTAAAGTCAGGCTAGTGTAGTGTATGCTTTGCACTGGCAAGACAGTGATAGTGTGAATGAAAGTGAGTTTTCTTTTTCAGGTCACCTTGCCTTGGTGGAAGATGGCCAGTGTGTATTGAAAAAAAAGTTATTGTCATTCTTGAATTAATACTGTGTATAAATAATTGATGCTGCAGACATTAATACTACATTTCTTTGATTGCAGGTTATTAATGAACTTGTACATAATGTGAAGAATATCAGAGCCCAGCTAAATCAAATACTGAGCGAAGTGTTGGAATTTCAGCAGCAACAACAAACGGTGATGTCGTCTATGCAGTCCCAGCTCAGCACTCTCTGTGTCCAGTTTAATGACCTCAGCATGATTATTGGTCCAGCTGCTCTTGAGGCAGGCAGTGACAAGGAATACTCCACTGAGTGACTCGTAAATCTTGACTCGCTATATACGTAATTGACTACTGTGTATATAAAGGAACTGTATGCGAAAATGTTTTTGGTTTTCTGTGTTTTGAGCAAAATGTTTCCCTATTGAAATGGTTTTGGTGGTAGATTTCATGTAATTTTACAACTAGTCTTAAGCAAAATGGGTGACGAAAGAAATTTCCGTAGTCAGTTTTATGGAAAGGTTGGATTACGTGAAGTTGAAGATAAAAGAACCGTGGAAACATTACTGAAAGAGCAACCATTAGACGAGAAGAAATTTGCTCACTTTTGCCATCGCACTGTTGTCCCAGGTGCATATAGATTTTCTGGTTTGGAAATTACTGTTACATGTAACTCCTCGGTATGCAGAGTCTCAGGATTATGTTATGCAACAGCAAACTTTGTTGTTTGATGACCTGTGGCATATACTTAAAACTTTGAAACTTGAGAATGTGGTGGTGGTGAGAAATGATAACACGAGTGATCTCAGTCTTCCAGTGGATGATGTAACTGTCAAAATGGTAATAAAAAGCGAGGATGAAGCTCCAACCCCTGAGAATTATATGCTTATGTGGTTAATAAGCACAAGCAAGCTAAGCTTCTCTATGACATAAGAAAGAGTTAAGAAAAGTGAATGTCAGCATTTTCTCCAAATTGCGAAAAAAATTTCATGTTTTGTGTGACAACCCTGTTGATATTTTTCATGTGTGTTCGTCTCTCTACTCCTTGCTTTTGAAAAATCATGCTGTGATCACAGATGCTGTAATGGAGGCCATTGGGATGTTGCGCAAGGAGAACGCCTCTTTACATTACCACCTGATGAAGATTGAGCTCTTCACTAGCAGTTTGTTGGTGGACCTGTGCCTCAGTGTCTTCTGTGACATATTTCCTGAAACTGCCGTAGAGAAAATACTAGATAAGGTGATTGCTGGTGCATTTAGGGTGTTTGCCTTTGTTACATATTCCTTACTTGTGCACCTTAAACAGCCTCTTGCTACTGTGTTAAGTGTAAAAGGCATTATGAGCATTTTGTACACAATTCGCAAGGAGGAAGCTGAGATTCTTGTTAACTCAGCATTAGATCAGTGGCTTAAAATTGTTAAGAAAAGACCACAACAGTAATAAAACAATGATGTACACATACAAAACTTTTGTAATATAGAATGATCCAGCATTTTCTTTAGTACTACTGTATTATAAAATGTTTATGTGTATAATGTATGTATATGTAGTACAGCATAAACCATGTTGTGTGTGTGTGTGTGTGTGTGGAACAGAATTCTTCCTCCGTAAGCCATGCGTGTTGTAAGAGGCAACTAAAATGCCGGGAGCAAGGGGCTAATAACCCCTTCTCCTGTACAAATTACTAAATTTAAAAAGGAAAACTTTTCTTTTTCTTTTTGAGCCACCCTGCCTTGGTGGGATACGGCCGGTTTGTTAAAAAAAAAAATATATATATAATGAGCAGTTGATTGTGCTGTCCATAATAGTACATTTACTGTACTTGGTTGCTGAAGCACGTTTACACTACACATTCATCCTGTACCATTACTTGTCCAACGACTTAAGGTTAGTTTTGCAAAATTTTGCACATACTTCCGTTACTTTATAATTATTATTTTAATCTGGATGGGTTGGCCCCATCATCAAAAATTTAAAATCCCTCCCTGCAAAATCCCTTTTGAACAAAAATGGCAAAGTGGTCACCCAGTCAGTTTGCATTTTGCTTTCATCTCTAAGATTGTGGTTATTTAACTTTTGGTGGTACAGTTAATAACTTGTTGATCATTGTTGATATAAGGGCAAAGTTTTACAGAATATTATGGTGCTGCCTTGAGACAAACTAGGAAGTCATTAAGTGGAAATAAAGGGTGAGCTAAACAAAAGTTTAAGCATTTGATGGTGTAGATTGTGAACATTGCCAGAAGTTTTTTTTCTGCACAACTACTGTCTTCTGATATTTATTATGTTTTGTTTCAGGCAATAAAATTGGTGATTACTAATAGTGGTCATTTTTAGGTGTTTCTGTACCATAACCCTTAATTACATCCTCCTCCTATGGGAAATAGCAGTTTGCATTATAAATTTTGCTTTATGAAAACTATGGTATTTGTAAGAACAGGAACTCACACGACTTTTCTTTCTCTCTCGTCTCTCCTCTCTCTCTCTCTCGGTCACCTCTCTCTCTCTCTCGGTCTCTCTCTCTCTCTCTCTCTCTCTCTCCAAATACATCTTTGATACAACCCCTCTTCAAAAATAAAGGGGGGGGGACTCCTTGGCACAGTGAAGAGGCTTTCATCTTTCTCCCTTCCCTGTTCCTCCTTTTCCCCTCTGCCATTCATACTTTTGGCTTTAGGATCCACACAGGAATTCTAGCTCCTAGGCTGGGGAAAAGGTTTCATTGTCTATCCCATTCCATCCTCTTCAAGGGGGGCTCCTTGGCATGTTGAAGAGGCTCTTGGTCTGAGGAATTAGCCCTATCTCCTTCTTCCTCAGACCGAACTAATACCCCCCCATTCTCCCCTCCTCCCCCATCCCATCCTCCCTATCCTCACCCTTTTTCCATCCTCCTCCTCCTCCCACCCTCCACCTTTGCCCTTCCTTCCTCTTTTTGGGCCTTTGGGAATTCCTTTTCTCCAACAGGCGCGCTAGTTTCCGTAGGTAGGGGAAAGGACACCGGGGTCCATGCCCATCCGTTGAGGTTTTTTTTTCTTGCGGTGGCTGTAGTTTGTCGTGGAATCTGATTGCCTGGGGATTCCCGATCCCCTCTTTCCGGTACCCGGAGTAGCTTTGGGTGTCTTTTTTCGGCAACGCGGGTGTATCTCTGGAGAGCCACCTTTTGGATTCCGGGGGTGTGGCCGAAGGAGGTATGCTTTGTGGCGGATACCGGCCGACCTCATCCTTTTGTTTTTTGTCCACCGAGGTACTCGGCAGATGTGAGGTTGCCTATCCCGGATTGCTGGTTTACTGGCATGAAGGGTAGGTATTGGCACGGTTCCATGCTGCACTGCACTACTAGCGTGCTGAAGTCCTCCTGGGCGCGAGGGAGATTCCGGCCCTTTCAATCCTCCTGGGAAGTATTCCTCCCCTCTCCCCCCTTTTTTTCTATATTCTTTTTTTTTTTATTTTTATTTTCTTTTCTTTCTTTTTTTTCTTAACAAAAAGCAAAGGAGTAAACCTAACCATTGGCAGCCTATTTTTTCCCATGAACCCACTACCCCCGGGCCCCCTTTCTTGGTACCGCACCCCATTCTGACCCTGCCTTGTGTTTAGACCGCTCTTTTTCGGACACTCCCTGATGCCCCTGACCTCTTGCTGGTGCTGTTTCCTCGCCCGCTTCAGGTACCGGTGGCATCGACTGACACCTTCGATTTGTCTGAACTTCTTAACTCCGCTCTTCCTTTGACTATCTTCCGCATCTCTTCTCCCTCTACTGTCGGCATTTTTTTCGAATTGCCCGCTCCCATTTCACGCCAGACCAACTCCGGTCCTACTCCTAAAGCCAACGGTCAATCTTCCTATGTTGCTGCTTCCTTCGTATACCTTCCCTTCTACTCGGAAAAAGACCGACACGTCAAGCACTTCCCTCTCCACGCTCAGTTTCGGACCACACAAATGGACTAAATTTCTTTACTTAAGAAACCGACTTCTTCTGCTACCTTATTTCTGACCATAGTAGTGGCAAAGCGCTCCTGCGTCATGTTGGTAGCGTATTTCATTTCAATGCTCTCAAGAGCGGTATCGCATCGCACTCCCAGAATGCTACCCAAGCTCATGATCTTTCTCTCTCCTTTCGAAATCGATACTACATTCCTATCACTATTGAAAAAACATCTTTCTCTCAATTCTTGTAGTGGTACTGTCATTCTGGGCCCCATACCATAGTCCAACAGAATTTCCAGTCCATGGGCACTGAACTTTTTTTGAACAGCAGCTGGAACTCCAGGACTCCCAATCCTCAAAGTAGAACCCCACCCAACTTACGTCCCTTCCTGCCGCGGGCCGGAGACGTTTACCCTTGCCAATGTGGCTTCGTTTTAAAACTTTGACAGCCGAGAACTCCCCGTCCTCTGTATATTCGTGGACATCGTTACAAGTTCGAAAGGTGATACCTACCCAACCGCCAACAATGTAAAATTGCTGTGCGTTTGGGTCACCCAGTCGAAAAAAAAAAAATTATTGCAGATCTATGGCCGAATGCCCAGTCCCTGTGGTGCCGACAGACCATTCCCTAATACATCTGCAGTCAACCTCCATCCTTGCCTTGATTGTAATGAAAAGCTCACCACTTCGTACTCCCGCCGTTGCCAGTCCTACTCAAATGAACGTGAAATCATTGCCTCAAAGAGGCAGAAGGTCCCCTTTATCTATGCAAGTTACTTATCTCCGCCTCCAAGGGAGACTACCCCCGTGTTTCTTATTCTCGTGTTTCCCAAACATTCCCCCCCCACTTCTGGGGTCCCATCTTCTGCAGCCTCCTCTGTTGTACCCCTCCCATAAGCCACTACTACTCCGCATCTAATTCCTTTTGTCTGTCCTGGCATCTGGACGTCCCGACCTACAACTCGTTCTGTTCTCACATCTTCTTCGCGTCCTTCCTCACAAGCCCCCAGTATCGACAAGACCTCGTACGACACCTATCAACCAATCGCCCCTCAACTCAGAAGTTCCAAAAATCCACATTGCTCAACATCTTCTTTTGCCCCTTCCTTCCCTTCTTCCACCTCCACACTTTTTACCTTTCCAGTCTCTGTACCTAGTTCTTCCCACTCTCTCTGGCTCTATTACAAGTGTGGAGATTCACCCTCCCCTCGTACTATGTATGCCTTCCACCTCCCGCCGTTCCCCTCCCAAGAGTCTCCCTCTTCTGCCACCTCCCACACATCCAGTCCCTTACACACTCCCTCCCCCCACTACTTTGGTAACAGTCCCATTACTGTCCAAATCTTTACTCCACCCTCCTCCCTTTCTATCTCCAAATGGTCTCCCATACATCTTTGGAATTCAGAAGACACTTAAGCCATTGTAAAAATATTGCAGAGACTAAACCTTCCATGGACACGATTCACCTGCTGTTCCCTTCTCTTCACCTCCACCTCACATTTTCACAACCCTATTCTTCGCAACGCTCCGTTCCTTCGCTACTTTGGAACATCTTCCAATGCCACCACCACACGTTTGACTTTTCTAACCCCTCTAGGGTCCCGTAGGTGCCTTTTACCTACAGATTCCGGTATTTTTTCTTCATCGCCAATCATGGCCTATTTCCAGTGAATATCCGCGGCCTCAGGGTAATCGGGGTGAGCTTCAGATGTTGCTTTCCCGGTTTTGGTTCCCCAGTTGTGCATGCTTACAAGTAACCAAAATTACACTCGGAGCTGTTTTCCTCCTAACCTATCCAGGCTATACTTTGTTGTATTCTTCGGATCCTATTCTCAGATGGGAACCTTTAATGAAAGTGCCTTCTTCTTCTACGCAAATGAATATTCCGTTACTGTCAACTATTTGTCCATAACCTCGTCGCATTACCTGCAGCCCGATCCACTTGAATAAGTGGGTTTACAATATGGCTTTTATATCTCTCTCCTTCTCGGGCATTTTCTATCCCAGACTTTTTGCCTTTCTTTTGTTTTCATCCTTACCGCCACCAACTTCTGTTACTTGGTGATTTTTAATGCCCACCGTTTCTCTGGGGGGGGTCACATTGTGACTCACGGGCATCCAGTTGGAGGCTATTCTCGCCTCTCACCCCCTCCATGTTTTAAATACGGTACTCCTCCCACCCATTTTTGATCCTCTACTCATAACTCTCTCTTGCATTCGGTCTAATCAGTCTGCTCTTCCTCCACTGCACTAGACTTTTCACCTGGACACTGGTCTGTTCTACCAGACTTACTGACAGCGATCATATTCCGATCATTCTTACTTCTCCTCCTATTCAACCACCTTTCCGTAGCCCTCGGCGGCAATTTTGACGGGCAAATTGGGCACTTTTACTCACACCTCACTCTGCTTTTAGTGAGGTTCCTTCCTCCTTCATCCTCCATTGATGAGCTCCTACGACATCTCGACCGCAGTTTTATATCCGCACTTTCTCATTCTATACCCCAAACCTCAGGCAGGGCATTCTCAGAAGTGCGTGCCTATGTGGTCCTCCTCCTGCTTGTGCTCGTGCAGTACGTTTGAAATGTGCTGCATGGGCAGGAACCGGTAACAATAGAACGCGAGAGACTGTTCATGAATTTTAAGCAGAAGCGTGCGATCGCTCGCCCGTGTCATCCGTGAAGCTAAACGGCACTTGTTGGCACACTGTTTCCACCCTCCACCTCTGCTTCATCTATGAGTGGCTGTCTCTGGGAAAAAAAGTGAGGAAATTGATGGTAAATACTCTCCTGACCCGGCACCTGTTCTACGTCCTCTTAAGGGGTGGCTCCTTGGCGTGTGAAGAGCTCTTTGGTCTGAGGAATTTAAGCCCCTGTCGGTCTTCTTCCACAGACCGAACTAATTACCACCCCC